CACACGAAGGTAATCGCAGACGAGAGAGATGCGAACGGCGGAGATGCATCTCTGAGCTCATACCAGGCAGCCCTGAACAGAGACTGTAAGTCCGGATGCTCAAGCTGGCAAATCCTCAGCAATGACAATTCTCCTTTGGGCGTTGCTGGAGAAAGACCCCCTGGTAATCATCAGCTTCTCTGTGCCCTCCTTGTATGATTGCAGACGAGCACTGAAATGTCATCCCCCTCCCTTTCCTAGATGGAAAGACTCCATCGCACCACATAGGACTACTATGCTTGAAAATCGGCCATTTACGGCCAGATGATCACACAGAAGATGGCATCCGATTCACCTTCTTGCAAAATGTATGGTAGCATGAAAGTGACCAACGCTCGAAAGTACAAGAACTAGCCACATTAGCTCAGCGAAAAATATCCCAGAAGAAGCTTTCTTGGGCTTCTGAGCAGTACCCCCAGACGAAGGAAGTTCCGCATCGTCAACCCCTAAATGAAGCAAGATGCAAAAGCTTGAGAGCATCCAAACTCTTCGAGGACTGATCAGTTCTCAACCCAGTGATTCAGTGAAGGCATTTGTCTGAAGAGCACACTCATGTACGTTGTCCCATTCACATCTGCATGTTGCGCAAGAGCAAGATTATCAAGGCGTGCTCAGACATGGTCTGAAGACTCTGAAACTTCCCGAACAGAATCACGATCTCTCTCTCTCTCTCTCTCTCTCTCTCTCTCTCTCTCTCTCTCTCTCTCTCCCTCTCTCTCTCTCTTTCTCCACAGTGCCATGCCACATACAGGGAACAGGTCGGCTCTTTTCTTGTCATGGGGCAAAGCATCTCCACTGTCCCCTGCTCCACCCCCACCCCCCAGCCCTAGAATAGGAAGATGTATCAAGGAACACTCAGAGATGGTCCGAGCCTTCCAGAAGAGACTGACAAGAAATCCCTTTTCTCTCTCCCGTCTCACTTCCCCTCACTTCTCCTCCTTTCACACTTTTTCAGCCTTGCTTCCTCTCTTTCTCAGTCCCAGGCCACATGTGGGGACAGGTCAGCTCTTTTCTTGTCTTCCTGCGAAGCATGTCCAGTCCTTCCCCCCCCTTGAATGAGACACTGAGACAATCAGACTGAGAGGCACAAACGAGCTAGATACAATCTAGATAGACAGGAGGAACGGCCATTGAAACGAGGGCATGCATGGTGGCCAGCTGCAGACAATATGTATGCGCAAAAGAAAGGGACCTCATGATGCACCATGACTGAAGGAGAGCCACTTAACAACTCGTCAAATGAAAAGCCCTACCTAGAAGGCCAGCACCTACAAACCAATTCCATCAATCAAAATTCGTTACTTTCAGCAAAGGGAAACTAGAAGGGAAACTAGATAATAAATCTCTGGTAAAGAGTCCAAGAAACTACATAATAAATCTCTGGTAAAGACCAAGGAGAGCCAATCCAAGGCAGAGTGGACCATGCGGAAATGAGGAAACGCCACCTCACTCAGCGGACAATAAGTAGTCCGAGACAGATGGCCTCAGGGTAGCAGGGAGATAGAGTATGAAGTAGGGGACGAGGAAGAGAAAAAAAAGAAGACAGATGGGAGGGGAAGAACAGAGAATTTACAGCTTCAAAGAATCCCTACGTGGAGAGTACGGGGCCCCGATGACAGATGACCAAGTCAGCAGGTCAAAATCCACTGCAAAGTGTGTAGTAGAGTTTAAAGAGAACTACACAATGGTGCAAGAATGGTTCTCTTCAAATGTGCTGCAATCAGTAAAAACTTTCCATAGTGACAAATTAGCGTGTCGACAGGATGATGAAGTCCTCAATCAAATGTGTAGTAGAGTTCAGACACTCTTACACAATGGATCAAGATGGTTCTCTGCAAATATGCTGTGCAAGCTTTCCGTGAAACAACTCTATGCTCTCTGGGTGGTTTGGATCGATTGTTAGTGCCATCCGGCAATCCCTGATTGCCTTGTCATATTCCTCCATGGTCTCAAAAAACGCCGCTCGAAGGTACAGCAAATTCAGATCAACCTTGAAAGCAATTGCTTGTGATAACTCAGCAATAGCCTTGCTCTGCTGGTTGTTGTCCATGAGCACTGAAAGCAATCCCGAGCCCCGATGCACCCCAAAATACAACCGCCCACACAGCCAAACAAGCACGAGAAAACAAGCAAATGAGGGCAACCCAAAGTCGTGCCAACATGCCCGGTAAATTACCTCAACCCGGTTAAGTTAACCGCCCATTGCCAATTTGCCAATCATTTGCCGAGTTTTCCTGGAAAAATTGAAAATTCTTGGACTACCCTACCCTTCTTTTTTTTTGTGACCATTCTTTTTTCTGGAGCGCACTCACACAACGTTCTTCTTTCAAATTCTCCGTTCCTTCTCCCCTTTCGAAGCAATCATCCCTCTTTTCCTTACTAATTCTTCTGCATGTTAACCAGTGTTGGGCTCAGGGGGATTTGAACCCGAGACCTGGCCCAAGTGTGAAACAAAAAAAAGTTGTGTTTATTTGGTTTTTCAACTTTGCTGCCAGTCAGATTCAAACCTGGGACCTCCAAGTAAGCATACTGTTAGCTGATCTTGGACACATAGGACCCCATAGGACCTAGACCTCGAAAAATTCTCTAGGCCAAAGCCCGGTAGGACCCAGTAGGCCCAGGCAAATTTGGCATAGCAAAAAGTGACGAGCAAGGACTACAGGTCATTCTTCCCCTTCTTTTTTTTTTCTTTTTAACTAATCTATATTCTCCTCCCAATCTGCTAGGATTTACCCCTCGGCATCAGGCCCTGCATCAGGCACGTGCCCGCCCTAAGTGAAGGCGGCCCCACTGAATCTCAATGCAACCTGAACTTGTCAATTTTTGCAAATCTTGGTGGGCGCCAGACAGTTGCCACGCGCCAGTTGGTTACATCCGCCTTGCTTGCCAGAAGCGGAAATATTTGTGAGCCTTCCAGGCTCTTCCAGCAATGTGGTTGAAGCAGGGGTGCCTGGGTGGTCGGGCATGCCTAACCAATTTGGTCCCAGGCCACTGTCTGAACGAGCCTGGGCGCAGACACTTTGGCCGAGACTGAAGCTACTGGAAACTCGGCCTCACAGGGGCAAGTGGAAGGCAACGCAGCCCGCCACTTTCCATATAGGAAAGGGCAGGGCTACGGGGAAGACATTCGGGTAGAGCAGGCGGCAGCGCTGCTGTAGCGGGCGCTCGCGTGCTGCTGCTAGCTGCTTGCGCAAGTGCCCACGTGCGTGTGCGGACGTGCAGGGTGTAGGGCGCTGCTGTGGGCAGCGCCGTAATAGCCAGCCCCTCATAGCCGGGCTTGGCTTGGACATAGCCAGTGGAGATGGTGGTGGTCTTCGTGCATGAGGAGGAAGACGTGCGTGAAGAGTGAGATGAGGATAATGACGTGAGGGCACATACCTGGTCTTGGCGATGGTCTACAGGGTCGACATCTTCATGTACTTCAGTTCTTGCTGCTGACGTCAACAGGATGCATTGTCAATTTGTAGGCTGAGTTGTGGCTGTGTGATTGTAGTCTGGGCGCTGAGCCCCAAGTAGGAAGAGGAAGAAGAAGAGGAAGAGGAAGAGGAAGAAGAAGAGGAAGAGGAAGAGGAACAGGAGGAGGAAGAGGAACAGGAGGAAGAAGAAGAGGAGGAGGAGGAGGAGGAAAACAAAGAAGAAGCGGAGGAAGAGGAGGAGAAAGAGGAAGAGGAGGAGGAGGAGGAGGAAGAGGAGGAAGAAGAGGAGAAGAAGAGGAAGAAGAGGAGGAGGAGGAGGGGGAGGAGGGGGAGGAGGAAGAGGAATAGGAGGAAAAAGAGGAAGAGGAGGGAAAGGAGGAAGACAAGGAAGAGAAAGAGGAGGGAGAGGAGGAAGACAAGGAAGAGAGAGGAGGAAGAAGAAAAGGAGGAAGAGGAGGAGGGGGAGGAGGGGGAGGAAGATTAGGAAAAAGAAGAGGAGGACGAAGAGGAAGTGAAGGAGGAGGAGGAAGATTAGGAAAAAGAAGAGGAAGAGGAGGAGGAAGAGGAGGAGGAGGAGGTAGAAGAGAGGAGGAGGAGGAGGCGGAGGAGGAGGAGGAGGAGGAAGAGGAGGAGGAGGAGAAAGAGGAGGAAGAGGAAGAAGAGGAAGAGGAGAAGGAAGAGGAAGAGGAAGAGGAAGAGGAGCAAGAACAAGAAGAAGAGGAGGAAGGGGAGGAAAAGGAAGAGAAGAGGGAGAGGAGGAGGAGGAGGAGGAGGAGGAGGAGGAGGGGGAGGAGAGGGGGGGGAGGAGGGGGGGGGGGGGGAGGGGGAGGAGGAGGAGGAGGAGGAGGAAGAGGAAGAGGAGGAGAAGAGGAAGAAGAGGAGGCGGCGGAGGAGGAGGACGAGGAGGACGAGGAGGAAGAAGAGGAGGAGGAGGAGAACGAGGATGAAGAAGAGGAGGAGGAAGAGGAACAGGAGGAGGAAGAGGAACAGGAACAGGAAGAAGAGGAAGAGGAAGAGGCGGAAGAAGAAGAGGAGGAAGAAGAGGAGGAAGAAGAGGAGGATGAGGAGGACGAGGAAGAGGAGGAGGAGGAGAAAGAGGAAGAGGAGAAAGAGGAAGAGGAAGAAGAAGAGAAAGAGGAAGAGGAAGACGAAGAGGAAGAGGAACAGGAGGAAGAGGAACAGGAGGAAGAGGAAGAGGAGGAAGAAGAAGAGTAGGAGGAAGAGGAGGAAAACGAAGAAGAAGAGGAGGAAGAGGAGGGAGAGGAGGAAGAGAAAGAGGAGGGAGAGGAGGAAGACAAGGAAGAGAGAGGAGGAAGAAGAGGAGGAAGAGGAGGAGAGGGAGGAGGAAGAAGAAAAGGAGGAAGAGGAAGAGGGGGAGGAGGGGGAGGAAGATTAGGAAAAAGAAGAGGACGACGAAGAGGAAGAGAAGGGGGAGGAGGAATATTAGGAAAAAGAAGAGGAAGAGGAGGAAGAGGAGGAGGAAGAGGAGGAGGAGGAGGTGGAAGAGGATGAGGAGGAGGAGGCGGAGGAGGAGGAAGAGGAGGAGGAAGAGGAGGAAGAAGAAGAGGAAGAGGAGGAGGAGGAGGAAGAGGGGGAGGACGAGGAGGAGGAAATGGAGGAAGAGGAGGAGGAAGAATAGGAGGAAGAGCAAGAGGAAGAAGAAGGAGGAAGAGGAACAGGAAGAGGAGGAAGAGGAAGAGGAAGAGGAAGAGGAGGAGCAAGAGGAGGAGCAAGAGGAGGAAGAGGAACAGGAGAAAGAGGAGGAAGAGGAAGAGGAGAAAGAAGAAGTGGAAGAAGAAGAAGAAGAGAGAGGAAGAGGGAGAGGAAGAGGAAGAGGAAGAGAAGGAAGAGAAGGAAGAGGAGGACGAGGAGGAAGAGGAGGACGAGGAAGAGGAAGAGAAAGAGAAAGAGGAAGAAGAAGAAGAAGAGGCAGAAGAGGAAGAAGAAGAGGAGGAGGAGAGGAAGACAAAGAAGAAGAAGAAAAGGAAGAGGAGGCAGAAGAAGAGGAGGAGGAAGGGGAAGAACAGGAGGAAGAAGAGAAAGAAGAGGAAGAAGAGGAAGAAGAAGAGGAAGAACAGGAAGAACAGGAGGAGGAAGAGGAAGAAGAAGAGGAGGAAGAAGAAGAAGAGGAAGGAAGCGGGAGCAGGAGGAGGAGGAGGAGGAGGAGAAGAAAGCAGGAGGAGGAGGAGCAAAAGGAGGAGAAGAAAAGAAAAAAGACAAAGAGGAAGAGGAAGAGGAAGAAGAGGAAGAGGAAGAGGAAGAAGAGGAAGAGGAAGAGGAAGAAGAGGAGGAAGAAGAAGAGGAGGAAGAGGAGGAATTGGAGGCGGCAGAGGCAGAGGAAGAGGCAGAGGAAGAGGAAGAGGAGGAAGAGGATGAGGAAAAGAAGGAAGAGGAAGAGGCAGAGGCAGAGGAGGAAGAGGAAGAGGAGGAAGAGGAAGAGGAGGAAGAGGAAGAGGAAGAGGCAGAGGCAGAGTGTGGCATACTGGGTAGCCACACGGGCCCTGTAGGACCCGTCCCGGACATTCAGCCTAAAAGCCTAAAACTTAGGATCTACAGGCCCCGGTCGTTTCAGCCTGAAAACTGAAAAACGAGGGTCTGCAGGCCCTACTCCGTTTCAGCCTATTTCTGGGTCTTTCAGACCCAGAGTTTTTCCAGCCTGAAACGGAGGGCTATTCTTAGGCCCTGGGCTATTTTTAGGCCCTCATTTGTTTCGACCTGCCCTAAGATTCAGGCAC